TTGGATTGGTTCCTTGGTTCTTTGGTTCTTTGATTAATAATATTTTTCTATTGAACTTTTCCTTATATATATATATATATATATATATATATATATATATATATATATATATATATATATATATATATATATGGAAAAGTGAATATACCCTTAAGGGTATATAAGATTAGGTACCCTACTTATTTAAACTACGTAGTTTTGATCATTTGTTTATTTTTCTAAAAAAAATCGTCTTTGCGTTACAATGGTCATTCCAAGATTCACGGTACTGAGAAAAACCACAGCACGGATAGGAGTTTTCAACAATTATTGGTGATGTTTTTAAATGGTAGAGACGAATGGAGAAGGTCACGAAGGAAGACTTTCAAATGTAAAATGAATGTCATTTTTATGTTTAACTAGATTATACACTTTTTGAGGAATCACTCCATCTTATGAAAAGAAAGAGTAGAGATAAAGATATCAAAAGAAATTGCATACAAGAAAAAGCGAAAAAAATACATTTGATAATTGGCAGGCGTAGTCATAGATGTAATTTTACTTAATATTTGAGGAATTGAGTTTCGGCCGAAAATAAGGAAACAAGTATAGAAAAAAAGGAAATTGTTTTCTTTTTTAAATATCAGAAAAAATAAACAAATGATCAAAACTACGTAGTTTTAATGCGTGGGTACCTCTTCTTATATACCCTAACGGTATATATATATATATATATATATATATATATATATATATATATATATATATATATATATCGTAGAAATTTATAACCACACAAAAGATATCCATATTATTAAAGAACCTTCTTCAAGATTCCATGTGCAGGTATTATAAAATTCAAGCTATACTTACAGACACAAAAAGAAAATGGGTTATCGGTAAATTTGGAAAATAAAAACATTTGATGAAATATACGTTCTACCTGGGTATGATTTAAAACTATATAAGAGAGAAATAAAATGGGTAATTGATGAAGTTAGATAATTCCAGTAATAGTGTTTGACAACACCGAGGATAAAAAAAGGTTTAATTGTAACCGAAAAAGTGTTGACACCTCTACGTAATGTCAGTTTCACCACTAACCCACTAGACATTGAAAATGATTACCATTCCCACAATATAATTTTTTTTAATTTTTTAATTTTTTTAATTTTTTAGCATTAAATTAATTAAAAAAATATAATTTATAACACAAATAAATATTTTTAAAATATAGAAAAATAAAACTATATTTCATATATATATATATATATATATATATATAATATATATATATATATATAGCTGAGGTTTAACTTAAAGATAAATAAAAAGGTATAATGAGATACAGAGAAACATTTTCAGGGACCATAATTGTAACTTCAATAAAAGAGAGAGTGAATTATTTGGTATTGGTTTTCTTGGCCCTCTTTGCACCCACTCGACACCCAAGCCACCAGCCCTTAGGGCGGTGTTCACGAGTCTTTTGGGATGTCACCTAAGCTTCCACATGTGGATTTCTATCCCACTCCGGATAGCCTAAGTTAGATTGATTGTTGTCGTTGCAAAAGTAAGAGGACTGCAGATTTAAAAAAAAAAGATGATTGTAATTGGTGGAGAGATGATTATAGTATGATAGGTATTATCGGATTATGTAATCATCGTTGCAAAAAATGGAGTACGTGAAGAGATAAGAGACAAGAGATGTGAGGGTTTCTTTGTAAAATATGTTTTGTTCCACTTAGTTTTATCTTTTTGGATGAGACTAAAATCCAATAAAATAGTCTAATTTGACTTGGTCAACAACTAATTTTGTTCTTGTCACATCCATATCAAACACTTTTTCAAAGTCTATTGTTCTGTCAAGTTCTGTCTTGTCCCATGTACCAAACGGTACCTAAATGGCAAAACTAATGATGGAGTTAAGAACTACAAATCTTGTAGAATCTAGAAAGGCAATGCTTAGCCTATCAAGTTTGCACATTTGTTTTGGTGGTTTAAGTTATGTGGCACAAAGAAACAGTCTCGGCATTTTGGCCACCACTAAGTTTAGATAAAAACATGGTAATTAGGCGTAAAAGTGATGAGGAAAATTTTGGTCCTCATATTATTAAGGTGGATAAAGACTTCATACCATACCTAATTGCTTAATTAGACAATAAAGTGGTATCAATCATGCTGATAATGAGATATCCATGGCATACTTGTTAAAATTAAAAGCTAGTATATAATTATTAATTTGTAATAATTTCATATTTAATATTGTAAAACATAAGGGGGAAATTACAAATATCTTGTATGTTTGGATTCCCCGGATATAGTTATTGAACTTAAACTAGATCTAGAAGATTGCCCTAATCTGATCTCTAACCCAGTGGCGGATTCAGGATCAAAGTAAAGGGGTATCCCCAATAAGTAAAGGGATATCCCCGAAAAAAAAAATTCGTCTAATACACAATAAGAAAAAAAAATTCCAGAAAAAATTACACTACTAAAATTTTTTTGAGGGGTATCCCGGGCTACTCGGGATACATAGTAGATCCGCCAGTGCTCTAATCACATTGTGGAAATGATTACGATTTTTAGTGTGAAATCGACAAAACCCTACGTAAACAAAACTATTCAGTTTACGGAATGAAGTCCAAAATAGACATATGCTTCAAAAAGTAGATCATAATGATCAAGCCTTTCAAAGAGAAAATACATTGAAGTTTATGGAATCACTTGCTAAACAGTTTGGATAAATAAAAAATGATCATCTTTATGAAGAAAGTTTTCTTCATCTATTATTATATGTGCTCATTTATAATCTTTTTATTAGGGAAATCATAAAAAATACCATTATTTATGAAAAAATTTACAAAGTATCATTTTTGCAACCATCAAGTTATAATTGTAAAGTGCAAAATGCTACCAACAAATAATAACTCCAAACATTTGTTTTTAAATTTATATTTCGTAGTTATAAGAAGAATTTCACAATTCTGTAAACATACATTTGTAATTTTGTTCGAAATTTAAAATATTTTCAAATAATTTGTGTTTTTTTAATTTTCGTTTGTGATGGTGGTTAATTTTGTTCGACAATAACTCCAAACATTTGTTTTTAAATTTATATTTCGTAGTTAAATAACCTTTCATATTTACCAAAATATTCGTTTTAAAAGAAATTATCGGGTTGTTTTGTGACATAACATTTATTTTATTCGTTTTTAGGTGACATGGAAAAAAAAAATAAACGGTACCAAATATTTTTTATTGAATAAATGGCCGTCGAGTAAATGTTTTACTTGTTAACGTTTTATCTTAGATAAGAGACGACTTTTATTTTTGTTTCGACAAAATTGCAAAAATGGTCCCTGTGGTTGGCAAAATTATGTAGTTTTGGTCCAAAGCGAAATGTTTGTGCACCACTGGTCCAATTTTAGATATCTTGTGTGGTTTTGGTCCCTATGGTTGTATTTTCTTGTGTTTTTGATGCACATCCCACCTAAAATGACTAATATGCCCCTTAAATAATTATATTTTAATTTCTTTTATTTATTTTCTTATTCTTATAATAAAATGAAAAACAAAAACAAAATAAACCTCTCTCTCTCTCTTTCTCTCTCCCTCTCTCTCTCAAAATAAACCCACCACAAAATAAAAATTTCTTATACAAAACTCCACATAAAGGAAACGTGTTTCCTTCCTCAAATAAAGTTGTCAAATGAAACACCCAAACACCCTAAAGATTTTGAGGCTGTTCTTCATTCATCTTTGATCACCTGTCAAGAACACACACCATTAGAGTGGCTGATTACCTATGAAATCAAGAAAATGGCACCCTTTTCCCCCATTTTCCATTGCTGTTAATTAAAACAAAGCTGGAAATAAAATTTCTTATCTTTCTTCCTTGATTTTCGGCCTGTTTCTTCGTCCTCTGTCATGAACCACCGGCTGTAGTGGTGCTTCGATGAGCCATCGAGACAGCAGCCTCACCTCTCGCACATCTCTTCTTCTCCTGTCAAAGGAAACGTCACCGAACCACCTGCGACGTCGTGCTTCTCGTCTGAACTCTTTTCTGGCCTCCTTCCCTTCGAAACCCCTAGCCACACCGAGCCCCCTTCCTTCGCATCCTTCTTCCGAGACAGAAGAGCACAAGAGCTGCTTAAGCAGCCATTGCTGCCCTCGCTTCATCCTCCGCTCCGGATGAGTAAAACACCGAGAGGCGGCGATTTCTCTTCCCGATGAACGATAAGAGGCGACGGCCTCTTTTGTTGCTCGCCCCTACTTGCGAATTCGGCCGCTGGACCATCGATCGACCTTGGGGTTGTTCCCATTCGTATTTCTTTTTCTCCATCAGACGAGGATCTTCATAATTTTGTGTGTTTTGTGTGTGTGTTTAAGAAACGAAGTTAAAGAACCCAGATGAAGATTTAGAGAGAGAGAGAGAGAGAGAGAGAGAGAGAGAGAGAGAGAGAGAGAGAGACGTGATGGTGGTGAGTTTTTTTTATTTTGAATAAAAATAGATAATAAAAAGTGGAAAAACAAATTATAGGGGCATAATGGTCTTTTTAAGTAGATAGGGACCAAAAACAATAGAAATATCCAATTTTGGACCAGTGATGCACAAACATTTCGTTTTGGACCAAAAGCACATAAAATTGCCAATCACAGGGACCATTTTTGCAATTTTGTCTTTTGTTTCCATATAAACTAAAAAACGAAAAAGAGAAATGTTATGTCACAAAACAACCGAAAGAAACGGATATTTGAATGAATGTGAAATGTAACTGAAAATGAAAGGGTTTTTTTTTTTTTTTTTTTTATTTATTTTTATTTTTAATGTTAGTAGATAAATGATTGTAGTGTTATGTATTTATATTTATAACTAGTGGTGATATATTTTTTATTAGTAATAAAATAATTAATTTGTTAAGTATTTTATTAGATAAAGGATGAAAATATCAACAGATAACTAGCAATTTATGACAACTCCTCAAGTATTTATAAAACTCTCTACTTTACACAAACAGAAATCAAAAACTAGAATTTACACAACTAATCGTAAAACTATTGATCCTCGCCGGAGCCTTGCCGCTTAAAGGCGAAGCAGGCCTGGAAAAAATCAAAACATCCACCAGATCATGACTAGGGACAGTAACCCTAGCGATTAAACATTCACCGATATCCTCTCCTAGATGCGAATCCTCCGCTCTAATCCTCTCTATCTGGTTACGAACACGCCGGCTGAAAACATCAACGCTGCCATCCTTCACCGTCGCCGGCGACTTCCTAGCCTTTGTGACCACCAATTTCGGAGAGTAGGTTTCGGTATCCTCCGACGATGATCCGTAGCTCTCACGATCGGTTTCAAATTCTGCAAACACCTTCAACGTCGTCGGCGTTGTCCTATCTCCGGTAACTGTAGATGATTGCTTCATTGCAGTCATGGCGATTATAGCAAGGGAAAATGTATCTAGAGATGAAGTAAGGAAGCTGAAGGTAATAAGAAGATGATGATCTGTAAGGAACGATGATATGATATGTGTGTATATATAGTGTGAGAAATGGGGGTGGAGTTGAGTGATGAACACGTGTCGATGGTTGAACTATTGAACTGGTAAATGACATATGGAACGTATGGGAATAGAAAATGTTTGACGGGTAAGTGGTGAACGCACCAAGTGTATGCGGTTGGATTTCGGCTCTTCTTGAAGGGTTGCGTGGTACACTTGCTAAAGCAATGTTTCCTTAAAAAATCTATATTTTGTAATCGACATAGGTTTGGTCTAACTAATCTAATAGTATTTTTTTAATAAGTTGCCAACATTTTAAAAATCAATATTTTGTAATCGACATAGTTTTTTTTTTTTAATAAATACCAATATTTTAATAGTAATAGTTTTTAACATATATTTTACAATTTAGAATGATTGATTTCTTCGTCGGCATAGAGGTTATAAGAGTCGTCGGCAAAAGGTGGTATTTGTCGTTCTGAAGATGTTTTTGTCGCAAAGCGACTAGAGCGCTATGATGCCACCAACTTGGTATGGGTTTGTTGACACAATCATGAATGCTTGGCAGCACAACTATTGGACAAACCGGTTTTCTTGAATAACGACTGCTTGACGACAGTAATGTCATCAAGGCATATAGTAATGTCATCAAGGCATTGCGAATGTTTATCAGCAACCGATCATAACTAATCCATTTGCTAACAAAATTCTCTTTTATCCACATTGCAAACAATTAAATTTAATTTTTATTAGTTATCAAAGTTCTAAATTACCAATAACACATTTTATATAAGAGTTTCAATTATTTATAAAGTTATATCAATATTATATTTATTTAAAATTAAAATTATAAATTTTACTATATTTTTTTTATAACTTTTTAGTATATAAATTATATAATAAATAATTATTAAATCTATCCTTATAATAAACAAAATCTAACTTGTCACGTGTTCCTCTTCTACGACCCTACTTTTGCCACGTAACATTCTTCTAAACCGTCATATATTTTCTTCACGTCTAAATCAAAGAGAATCCGTTTTTAATGCATTTTAATGAAATTAGTATCTATTCAAATTAACAAAAATCTTATGTTTATTTCAGATTTAAATTACCATTCTTATCTGATGAAACTTTCTTATCTAGAAATGTCTAATTGAAGATAAATCTCAATAAATTAGGCCTATATAATCGTCCATAAGCTTATACCACTAAAATGCGTATTGGTTGTCAACAATAATACCATCATTGTCCTTTAAATTAACAAAAATCTTATATTTATTTCAGATTTAAATTACCATTCTTATCTGATAAAGCTTTCTTACCTAGAAATGTATAATTGAAGATAAATCTCAATAAATTAGGCCTACATAATCTTCCATAAGCTTATACCACTAAAATGCGTATTGGTTGTCAATAATAATACCATCATCGTCCTTCTTCTAATCTCACGATATTGCTTTGGTTACACATCTTCCATCACCACAAAAACACAAAGAAAAACAACAAAAAACGCCATGTTAGTACTTCTTATTTAGTTTTTTTATATTGATTGTTGTTATCTTTGCATTATAAACGTACATCTTGTCTGTTTTGTAGCGTGCAGAGGTGAAAATTTAATAAAATGAACATACTTTTTACCCCTTTCATCGCAACAACCTACTTTTTTTTTATGAATTATAGCAATGTATTATAGATAATTTGTGGTTTTTACTTCTTTGGATGAAAGATGTAAAATGGTCATTTAAAAATATATAAACAAATGGATTTTTGATCATATGATTACAACATACTCTGTTAACATGTTAAAAACTCAAGAAATACCAGGCTAAAAACGCATCAAATAACAATGTCATTTTTTCAAATAGCAACCTACTTATTTTTTTTATGAATTATAGCAATTTTTAAAACTAATTATAATTAGATGTCAAAATCAGTAAATTTAAATGTCACATAACAACAATATACTTTAATTTTTATGAATTATAGCAATGTACTTTCAAAATACGTAGCTATAGTTTACAAAAAAAATGAATTTTATTTAATTAAAGGACAAAAATTACCCCTTTCATTCAATTTTATTTCTTATAGCAATGTACTTTCAATTGTACATCGCTATGTTTTATGATAATGGATTTTTTGAAATAAATAACCATTTTACCCCTTTCATTACAACAATAAGCTTTTGCTGAAACATGTATTAGCTATAGCAACATAATTTAATATTTTTTTGGTACTAACAACAACACACTTTAATGTTTTTTAGGTAATAACAACAACATGAAACATGTATTAACTATAGCAACTTACTTTATAGTAGTTTTTTAAAAGTAATTATAATTAAATGTCAAAATCAGTAAATTAATGTCTCATAACAGCAACTTACTTTGTTTTTTTTATGAATTAAAACAATGTCTTATAGCAAATTTGTGATTTTTACTTCTTTGGATGAAAGGGGTAAAATGGTTATTTAAAAATATATAAACATATGATTTTTTGATCATGTAATTATAAGATATTCTGTTAACAGGTTAAAAACTCAAGAAATACCCGCTAAAAATGCAACAAATAACAATGTTATTGTTTTAAATAGCAACCTACTTATTTTTTAATGAATTATAGTAGTTTTTTAAAACTAATTATAATTAGATGTCAAAATGAGTATATTTAATTGTCTCATAATAGCAACCTACACTCTTTTATGAGTTATAGCAATGCCTTACAGCAAATTTGTGTTTTTACTTATTTGGAGGAAAATGATAAAATGGTCATTTAAAAATATATAAACAGATGGATTTTGATCATATGATTAGAAGATACTCTATTAACAGATAAAAAAAACTCAAGAAATATCAGGTTGAAAACGTAACAAATAACAATGTCATTTGTTTAAATTGAAACCTACTTTTTTTATGAATTATAGTAGTTTTTTAAAAATAAATATAATAAATGTCAAAATCAGTAAATTTAAATGTCTAAGAACAGAAATATACTTCAATTTTTAGGGATTATAGCAATGTACTTTCAAAGTACATTGCTATAATTTGTAAGAAATTGAATTTTATTTAACTAAAAGGCAAAATTCACATCTTTCATTCATTTTTAGTTCTTATAGCAATGTACTTTCAAATGTACATTGCTATAACTTGTAATAATGATTTTTTTTAAATAAATGACCATTTACCCCTTTCGTTACAACAATATACTTTTGTTTTTTGGTAATAACATCAACATGAAAGATGTACTAACTATAACAGCCTACTTTAATGCTTTTTTGGTAATAACAACCTACTTTAATGCTTTTTGGGTAATAACAACAACATAAAACATGTATTAACTATAAAACCCTACTTTATAGTAGTTTTTAAAATCTAATTATAAGTAAATGTCAAAATCAGTAAATTTAATTGTCTCATAACGACAACCTACTTTTTCTTATGAATTATAGCAATGTCCTATAACAAATATGTGATTTTTTACTTCTTTGGATGAAAGGGGTAAACTGGTCATTTAAAAATATATAAAAAGATGGATTTTTGATCATATGATTATAAGTGTAACGACCCGTATTTTCTATCATCTAATTATCTAGGGATAATTAGAGTTATTTCTAAAAAATTGTGGAATCGTATTAACTCATAAAAATAAAACATTTTTCATCCTAGGCAATAATCATGGGTTTACAATAAAATCATACAACTAAATATAAGCAACAAGGAATATACAAGTAATAAAATTATGCCTAATCTAATTTTGTGTTCTCCTATCGTCTTCATGTACACCGACTGTTACTTGAACCTGCAAACCATGAAACATCTTTACAACATCAAAAAATAATGTCTGGTGAGTTATATTCTTTTTATTTCCATGTTCACCTACTCTTCTTCTAAATCTTTCTATCTTTACATACTATAATCTCCTTCTCCTTTATTTCTCATACTCTGCAATCTATCTATTCTTTTTATCTTTCTCCCATCTTCACATTTCTCTACATTTTGTCTTTTGTTTTTCTCATACTCTACTATGTTCTCCATCTTTCTTATCTTTCTTATCTCATTTATCTCTTTCTCTGTCATCTATTCTTTTTCCCATACTCTTTCTTAGCCTCTTTTCAGACTCATTTCATACTTTGTACACTTTCTATGTTCTTTTTCTTTATCTCTCTCGTGTTCTACTCACTACTTCTCTTTTCTCTTTGTTTCCATACTCTATTCCGTCTCATCTTTCTCTATAATTTCCTCTCTCATGCATGCCCTTCTCATACTCTTACTCTGTAACATCCCAAAATTCATGACCAAAATTTTTGTTTTTAAATAAGTACATATCACAATCAGTAGTCTGAAAACATCGATAGTGTCATCCGATATCATAATAAAAACCCATACGTCAATAACCAAAACATGTCATAAGAAAACAATGCCAGAGTACAACTCCCAAAGATCTCATATGCAGAAAAATCATAGTGTGATACGCTGCGTTCATGCCGGCTCCTTTCCTTTCGAAGAAGAAGAAGTTCCCCCATCATACCACATAACAATATACTGCCAGGTATATTTAGGTGCCTGGCCTACCCTGTCAGGCATATCTGGGTGCCCGACCTACCCTGTCAAGCATATATGGGTGCTCGACCTACCCTATCAGGCATATCTTGGTGCCCGACATAGCCTCCGGTATATTTTAACCGGTTACGGGGTCTATTTCGCCCCTACCACTACCACATAATAACATAGCATAAACATACTATCAGACATATCTGGGTGCCCAATCTACCCTGTCAGGCATATCTGGGTGCTCCACCTACCCTGCCTAGCATATCTGGGTGCTCGACCTATCCTCCGGTTTATCTCAACCGGTTACGGGGTCTATTTCACCCCCTACTACTACCACATAATAACATGGCATATAAGCACATAATTCTCATCAGGTAGTGGCAT